AAGAGCATAATGTTGGATGCAATCCTATCTAATTATGTACTCAAATATATCGCAGTTGGATTGTATCTTACATTTTTAGGTATTACATGGAATTAAGTAACTTTTATAGTTTACAAAATAAACACAATGCACAGTAGTATCAATAACCTGTCTGTTCCAAATTGGATACTACTGTTTCAGCTTGCTGATAGTGTAAAAGCCTTCACACAGTGCAGAATGTGGAACAGCATTGGAAAAAAAAGACTGATTGACTCATAATTCAAAATATGTCACTGAGCACTTGATTATTTGTTCTATAGATAATTATGGAATGTACTTTCCTTGACTACATCATGGGAGGATGCCAGCTGAATTTTACTGTAAGTAAGCTGTTGCCCGTTTCTTTGGGTGGCAGGGGTTGAGAAGGACCAATCCCTGGGATTGGGTAATGATCTGGTAAAGTTCAGATGTAACTGGAGTGAAGACCCTTACCAGATACAGCGACGAGTCCGGAAGCCAACTAAGCACAGTGGTATAAAGACGTATAGCATTTGAATAACTCTCTGCCTAAAGAATAGGAAGCCTTCAGCCAAGGAAACTGTATTGTGCATCATGTGTTGCTTGGAACAAAGTTCCTGCAAATCCTCATACATAGTGGGAATACAAGCATCCCATTTAAGATTCCAATACAAGTTTCCCATCCCTGTTTTATCCCTGCAACAGCTCTGGCCAGTAGGCCTTGCTGAAAGATCTTTCAGGATGGTGCTTCTGATAATAACGTGGCCCTTAATGGGCTATAGAGGACACTGCAGAGTTCTGAGTTGACATTCAGATGAAGACTACACATAGGGCACTGTATGTTTTGTTTTTCAAATAGTAATGCTAAAAACAGGTTAACTGCATTAGGAGGAAAATGTTCCATACTTCTCCCTTCATTAACTTAGCTTATGTTTTCCTGCTGACTTGGGGAGAATTTCATGTGACCGGCAAAGTAATCTTCACACCAGTGATATATCTCTTGATAGGTTGGCATAGATTTTACTGGCTCTAATGGAGATCCTCGCTCTCCGGACTCCTTACACTACATCAGCCCGAATGGAGTGAATGAATATTTGACTGCCATTTGGTCCGTGGGGCTGGTCATCCAGGACTATGATGCGTAAGTCTCTCTGCTAGCATTTTCAGAGGAATAGCAGCCATGTTAAGTCTGGCCTGTTGCAGCAAAAAGAAAGAAAAGAAAAGAAAAGAAAAGAAAGAAAGAAAGAAAGAAAGAAAGAAAGAAAGAAAGAAAATGCAGTCTTGTGGCGTCTCATAGACCAGTGGTTCCCAACCTTGAATCCCCAGATATTCTTGGACTACAGCTCCCCAAAGTCCTAGACAGCACGGATTGTGGGTGTTTTAGTCCAAAACATCTGGAGTTTCTGGGAGTTTTAATCCAAGAACATCTGGGGACCCAAGATTGGAAATTGCTATCACAGACTAGCATGTTTGTCATAAGCATTTATGGAGTGCAGCCCATTTCTTCAGATGCATGGAGTAAAGTTTCTGTAGACAGACATTTCTGCTAATAGGCATAAATGCTACTTATTACTAGTGGTATGAACCTGTTAATCTTAATGGTGCCACAAGACCTTTCTACATGATAATACAGGATGAGTAGGAAAATGTTTTCTTCTCTAACTGTGTTTATCCCCTTCCTTCCTTTCTTTGCCCATATAAGCCAAGAGATGCATGGAGTAAAGTTTCTGTAGACAGACATTTCTGCTAATAGGCATAAATGCTACTTATTACTAGTGGTATGAACCTGTTAATCTTAATGGTGCCACAAGACCTTTCTACATGATAATACAGGATGAGTAGGAAAATGTTTTCTTCTCTAACTGTGTTTATCCCCTTCCTTCCTTTCTTTGCCCATATAAGCCAAGAACCTAGGATTAACTTTGTGTTTTTCCCCTTCCTTTCTTTGCCCATATAAGCCAAGAACCTAGGATTCTGTGCTGTGTTTAATATAATGGCTACATTAATTGAATTAAATGTGTGTCATTTATTTGTCCTGTCAGTGAAGTGAAGTACAAACTGATGTGGCGTAGTTCTTCAATCTAATGAATGAATCTAGCACTTGGAGGAATTACAGTCAGGTGAAGTGATGTGGCTTAGTTCTTCAATCTAATGAACGAATCTAGCACTTGGAGGAATTACAGTCAGTAAATGAAGATTAAACTGGTCCTACACTGAGTGCATTTATTTACAGTGGTGCCTCGCTTAGCGATCGCTCCTTTTTATGGCGAAATCGCTTAGTGATAGACTTTTTGCCATCGCCAGAGCGATCGCTTAGCAATGGCCCCTATGGGTAAAAATCACTTTGCGATGATAGCAGGGACGCTATCATGGCAAAGCGCCCATTTTTTAACAGCTGATCGGCGGTTCCAAAATGGCCACCGGAAAAACAAAATGGTGACTGCTGTTTTGCCTCGCTTTAGAGGCACCCAAAATGGCCACTGCTATGGAGGATTTTCGCTTACAGGTAAGTTTTTAGTCCATAGGAATGGACGAGTTTTAATGTGTTCCTATGGGCTTTTTAAAATCGCTTAGCGATTAAATCATTTAACGGTGTTTTTTCCTGCACGGATTAACGTCGCTCCGAGGCACCACTGTACTACTGTATTTCTAGATCCACCCTTTACAAGACGTTGTCTGAACACTCTCAGATAATACTGTATGAATGAGTTGTAGAACTTCAGAATCTTTGCACAGATTTGTTTAGCTTCATCTAGAAGCAGTAAATGCAGGAGCAAATTTTGGGGAAATCACATATATAACTTAGTGCTGTAGACATGGATCCCTTTTCCAGTCTATCAGAAAAGTTACTTATGCACAGGCCCTTCATATAAACTAAAATCCTAGACACTAGCTCTTAAGAAGAGAGGCACAAACCTGGATTTAGCCTCTCTTACTATCAAACTGTAGAACAGAAGAATTTTAGCTTTCTTTTAGTGGACTTGCAGCTCCAGCTGCTCTCCAACATATTCCATTAGATCAAGTTAATTATATTTTAACCTGTACATGCACTGCCCGTAGGATTCTGCATTGATCTCTGAGTGTATGTCATCTCTCAATGCTGGACTGAGTGAAAAAGAATTGTCTTGGTCAGTCACTGCTGTTAATTTCTAGAACAGTGTTGTAAACAAATACTTGGGAAAAAATAATGTGCTCACAAGTGTTGCGATGCACATGTTAAGAAAAAGGGGAACCCAAAGGACAGTGCAGACACAAGCAGTATGTACCATAATGGTTTTATTGTACAGTGCTTTGTTGAGTTGAGTTGGGTTGGTTGTGGGAGAGAGAGAGAGAGCAACCATCAACCACAGAGGAAACATTCAATGTCCTTCTTATTCAAACAACTGCTGTTTTGCCAGGGCTTTGAAGTCACAGTGTAGACTAAATTCAGTTAGCTTACCTTATGTCTGTAATTAAATCTGAGGACCTTCAAACCAGAAAATTCCATAGTTAGAGTTTAGGCGAGATCAGTATGGCTCCCAGATAAGAGGCTCCCGTTTATAAGATTAGACAGTTGTATAGCATATATTGGGATCCATGCTGTTATGAGGATATTTAATGTCCTTCCTAGGGTAAAAATCAGCTGTTTAAGAGATCATCTTGAGAGTGTCCTGAGAATTCAAACTAATAGGAGGAAAACATTCATGCCTTTTTTTGCAATTAGTGTGAAACTGTGAAATTAGTTCATAAACATTTTCTTTAAATTGTGTTTATAGGGATAAAATGTTCCCGGCTTTTGGATTTGGTGCTCAGATCCCTCCCACGTGGCAGGTAAACTCTTCACCTGGAAGGCAGAATATTTATCTTGGACTATCTTGAAGAGCAGTTTATCCAGGAAAGTAGCTTAAAGATCTATTACATAAAGACAATAAATAGGTGGTACAGGTATTATTTGGAGGAAAGGTGCCGGATTAAATATGGACTCATTTAAACATCTGGGTGTTTTTATATATTCATAGGTGTCGCATGAGTTCCCATTAAATTTCAACCCATCGAACCCATTTTGCAGTGGTAAGTTCTGAAACCTTAAAGTGAAAAGCTTAAAGGATATTTTGACATTTTCTGGGCTTGCAATAGCTGATAGCAAAGCAAAACTTTTACAGTGGACCCTCAACTTACAGACGGCTCGACTTACAGACTTTTCGAGTTACAGACTTCTGTGGCCGCAAAATTTAGATTCGACTTGCAGCCAGAGAATCGACTTACAGACCAGAAAAAAACCAAAATGGAACAAAAATAGAATAAAAACTGCCAGTTATGGGATTAATTGGTTTTCAATGCATTGTAGGTCAATGGAGATTCGACCTACAGACTTTTTGACTTGCAGCCACCGTTTCAATACGGATTAATTCTGTAAGTAGAGGGTCCACTGTAATTGCTTGTTTATTGTGAGCTTTTGTACTAGTGCCACGAGCATTACATCATTGGAAGAAATGGCAATAGAGGTCAGATGCAAGAACAGATCTTTCTAATCAAAACAACCTGGGCCTTATTGACTTAAAAAAGACTGGCAGCAGAAAATTAAAAATATGGGAAGAGTATGTAAAAAGTTTCCCGCATAATGTATTGTAACAAAGTAACAAATAAGAGAGTTCCTGAGAATTTGGTTATGATTTGTTTCCACTATTTATTCTGTCAGTTCAGCACTTGTTCTATTTATATTTCATAGTGCAGGAAGTAAGTGTAACCTGTTGCAAGTTACTGCCTATCTCAAAAGAACTGCCTCTAAGGGAGACAGGGATGGTTTGTTCCTAGGGACCGCATACTCTTAATTGCTTCCCTGGGTGAATTTACAACATGATCATTCTTATGAAAACCTGTTTGAAGTAGTCCCCTTCCCTTCTACTAGTTCAGTTAGCTTTACAGACTTAAGATATAAGTAGGTGAGTCTCTAACACTTCTCCCTCTCTGAATACAATTCATGTTTAAAATATTAACATTTCAGATTGTAAAGAGTTTCATAAGGTTGTATGAGAGCAATGATAAACATAATGAGGGATGTCCACTTTTTCTCCATTCCAGGAATCCAAGGTGTTGTGGATGCATACCGGGTTTGCCTCCCTCAAGTGAAATTATACGGGCCCACCAACTTTTCTCCCATAATAAATCATGTGGCAAGATTTGCTGCAGCAGCTACACAGCAACAGACAGCCTCAGTAAGTACCTTGTTGCTGTTGAACACTTACACTTTCCACTTTTTTGCTTGGTGAAGAGAACTGGAAGGTGTTAGGCAGAGGAGAAATGCTCACCATACCTGGTACCACTTAACTGAATAGAGAACAATTTTCCGTTAACTTCATATCCTTTATGAATCTTATTTGTGGTTCCAGTCTCAGTCTCTTAGATTCAGTTTCACACCTATTAAGTGGAAATTATTGTTCTCTACAGAATGATAGTAGGCTGACCATGCATAAAGCTACTCAGCATTTACCAAACCAGGATTAGTTTCCTGTTGCTATTCCCAAGTAGAGTAGACCTATAGACTCAGTGAATTACTGTTCAGCAGGTGATCCAGCCGGTTGAGACTACTGGTAGAATACTGGCTTGCGTATTATAAAATAATAAAGTTTATTTTTTCTAGGATATATTCTGTTCTTGCACGTGGATACATTTGAGGGTAAATTTTCTAGGATGTCATGTTGCATGTCAGTAGCATTACTTGCCCAATACAGCAGCTTAGATCTGGGCCTTCCTTTTCCCGTGGGGAAACCCATGGGAATTCAAAGATGTTTGTAGCAATGCTTGTGTGTGTAAATTTCTCAGTCAATGTTTGTCAGCACCGGTTTGGCTGATCAATAAAACTGTTTTGTGCTCCAGTCACATTTCTCCACTTTCTTTGTATCTTTCTGCTAGCAATGCTATAAATTATTTATTAAAAGATCATAGTATGTGTTGAACGACCTGTTTTGTGAGATGGGTAAAAGTGATTCTTTTTGTCCTTCCAATACATTAGGAGTGCACTCACTATACATGATTTAAAATAACTAAAAAAAAGGAGGGGAATTCTTTAACCCTTTTTCCAAACTAAGGAATGCAATCTAATATATAGAGTCTCTTCTCTCCTCGTAGACTGTCCATTATAGGGAGTATTTTAGAACTTGGGCACCTTCTTAGCTGAGGCTTTAAAAGTTGCTCACATGCCTCTTAAAATCTAGTGTAAGGTTGGCAACAAAGCCTTTTCATGGTGAAGCTAGGTTGGTAACAAGCACAGATTTCATTAGGGTTCCAGGATGATTCAGACGGTTTAGATCTCTGCAGAAGCAGCCTATGAAAATGTTATTGTTCTGCCCAGCTAATCAGTTTCACGGTGGCAGTTCTGAACATTGTGAGCAATCCAAGAATACTTTTCTGCAAGCATACTGGAAGAGTTGATCTGGCTGTACAGCAATTGCTGTTCTTTTGACATCGATTTGAGTCAAAAAAAATGTTGCAATGAACTGTTTTGGACCTTATCCTTTTATCTCATAATGTTGAGTCCTTCATGCCAAGTCTTTATGTATTTTGGGAATATATTTTCCTCTTTTCAGTTTTAACTCTGTGTATTTGTCCAACAGCAATATTTTGTGCTCCTGATAATCACTGATGGTGTGATTACTGACCTAGATGAGACCAGATCTGCCATTGTCAATGCGGCCAAGCTTCCCATGTCTATTATCATTGTTGGTGTTGGAGGAGCTGATTTCAGTGCCATGGAGTTCCTCGACAGTGACAGTGGTGCGCTGAGATCCCTTTCAGGAGAAACTGCTATTAGAGACATTGTCCAGTTTGTGCCATTTAGACAATTCCAGAATGTAAGTAATATCTCTGATATTAGCGAGTATAGTGGAGTAAGGGAGCTAGCCATCTTTTTCCAGTTTGGGCTAATCAAAAGTGTTCTGATGTGGAATGTGGTGACTTTGGCATACTTGCCATCCAAAGACAATGAAGTTGTGATAACAGCTATAAGTGAGGTTGTAATTCATGTAGATCTGTGGAACTTCCCACTGCCAGAACAGGTTGAAATATACATACATTATCTTTTGGGAAAGAGTGTTTGGATGTGATGATATTAGATATGGGCACAGTTTGTACCAGTTCATCCCAGTTTGTAAAGGCAGCAGCACAGGTGCTACTACTACCCTCCCTCGCCTCATGTGGCTCAGTCAGCCATTCACCAGACCCAGCGGGCTGGCTTCCTGCACCTCCTCAACTGATCTTCCAGTCTGGGGAACAGCTCAGACTTCTCTGCCCCACTCTTTTGACTAATCTCCCACTCAGACAAAAGGATGGGGCAGACAAGTCTGAGCTCTTGCTCATGACTGGGAGATTAGCCGAGGAAGTGGAAAAAGCAAGCAAGCTGGCCTGGTGAGTGGCTGATTGGGTGAGGCAGCAGGGGAGGGGAGCAGCAGCAGTATCCATGCTGCCGCCTGTACGAACTGGGATGTCTCGGTTTGTGCCCACCTCTAAATGAAATATAACAAGGAAGGTTTCGTGGTTCATTTCTAAAACGCAATCCTCCGGTAAAAATGTCTGTAGCTTAGACCCAATAGAGGGAAAGTTCTGTTTTATTATTGTGACAGATTGAGATGACAGTCATTTTGAAAGAAGATCTAGAGGGGGCAGCAGACAGAACTGCGAGGGATCTGCTGCTGATATTGAAGTTGGAATTATTCCAGAAATGAGCATAGGGGATACCATGGTAACCTGGATCAGTTGTCCAAGACAGACCTAGTGTTGTTGCCTCAGTAGGACCCAGACTGTTGCAGGGTTAGCTGATGTTCATCAACAGATTTGGCATGGCATGGCAGCAGCCAATTGAAGGGGGGGAACACATCTGGATCTGGCATGGGGTTTTAAATAACTTTACCTTTTGTCCCCCTTTTGGCTGTAAAAATCATTTCTTTAACTGGAGTGGACATGGCTGAGATCCGTTTTTGGTGAGGAATTGTTTGCTTGGAACCTAGTGCTACCGATAAACATGCTTTTGAATCCATACTATTATGTAGAAATGGAGTCACTGAGCTGGTGCATTGTGTCAATCACCCTGTGAATGAAAAGAACATTGTTTTGTTCTGGAAGGCTACTTTCCTAGAAAAGAAATCTTTAAAAAACATTCTATTACAGTAAATGATACCAAAGGAATATATCACCCCAGAGAAAATTATCTGATCCACATTTTCTTTTCCTGCTGGACCACACTGTCTGTTGTATAAATATCATCTCATTTATAAGAGTTTTGTCTGGAGGAAGAAAATGGAAAGTAAAAATGGTTTTGTTTGCTAAAGGGGTTTCCCCTACCTCAGAGCCTATTTGTATTTTAAATCTCTTAATGGGTTTCTGTAACATTTTACGCTCCATTTCCACTCCCTGCTGAAAAGCTGAAATTGGGGCACTGATGTTCTTTAGTTTCCATTATTTGTTTCGGCAAACTGCAGGAGAAAATACTTGTTCCTTATATTCTAATGGCTCGAGACTGGGTTTTACTTTAACTTGCTAGTTAATATTTTGCCTGTATTATTCTGCACATAACTGGATCCCACTTACTCGGGAAAATGTAATCCATTTACAGTAACTATATACTGTAAATGCTTGCTTATCTTGAAATAAGCAAGCATTATCCTTGGAAGAGAACTTTGGGTTAAGTAAGGCAGAAGCTTTAGGGAAAATTAGGGGCTGTTGCCTTTGCAAAAAAAAAAAAAAAAAAAAGCAAACACCTTCAGCTACTTGATGTTATAATTTTTTAGAGCACTGCTTTGGGGCATTTTTATGGTTTTTCTCTGGATTGTCTTATCCTAGGAGTACCAGTGTTAGAGCACTGCTTTGGGGCACTTTTATGGTTTTTCTTTCTGGATTGTCTTATCCTAGGAGTACCAGTGTCTGTTGCATTTTGGGGGTTGTTTGTTTGACAATAGATTTTACTTTCACTGATTGGTTCATTAATTTTATTGGCAATCCTATGTTTGAAAGACAAACCCTTTAATTTATCTTTTGATTTGTTAATAGTTAAAATTGAACAACCTCAGTGCCCACAGATTTTCAGCTGGTGTGTATAAATGAAGTTTTGTGAAACTGGCCATTTGGGTGGATACAAATTAAAAGCAGGACAATCCTTGCTTCTCCTAAGCAATCTGCCACTGTGTAAAGCAGGTAGGAATCATGTGGACTGCTGGCCACAAAGCACTTTAGGTTGCTTTTGTAGATCCTGGAGCTTCCCTCACAAATGGGAGTTATTTCTCCAGAGGCCATGGTACAGGATGGTTTTCCTTGTAAAATATGTTATGCTTGCCATACCTTGTTTCTGAAAAATACACCAAGGTACTCTCTTTTCCCCCCTGCTAAACTCAGCCTTCCACTCACGTTCCGTTTCACTGGAAGGGCTGGTATGGCCTGCAGCAGATCCAGGATTGATGGTAAATGTTTTCTAAACCAGGGTTTTCCACTCCTTTTATATACTGTCTGATCGCACAAAGATAATACAGTACTCTTATTAGTGGGCAGGTAACGACTAACCAATTTCCTTTATGCCACATTGTGAAGTTAATCATGAATAGATATGGGACATTTGTATTCCTATTCCTTAGGATATGAATATAAATATTCACACCACACGTGCTGCAGAAGCTCAGCCCCCCCCCCCGAACTGGCTGGTCGACTAACTGGTTGCCAAACAGCACACATGGCTGTCATTCTTTGCATTGCACCAATCTGGGAAGGAGCACAGTCAGTACTTCTCTGCCTCCCCACACAGCCAACCACTCTGCTGAGGAGGAAGGATGACTAGTCTTCTCCGCTCGTATGTTGAGCATTTGGCTGGGCATGGAGGTGGAAAGGCACCAGGCAGGCTGCTTCCCAGAATGGCCACGCACACGGCGCAGCGACCAGTTAGTGAACCTGCTGGTTCAGGAGAGAGGGACTGGGCTTCCACGGCACCTCTGGTGCCGATACTCATACAGTGGTGCCTCGCATAGCGATCGCTCCGTATAGCGATGAAATCACTTTGCGATGGACTTTTGCCATCGCAAAAGCGATTGCTTTGCGATGGTCCCTATGGGGAAATTTCGCTTTGCGATGATCGCAGGGAAGCGATCATCGCAAAGCCTTCATTTTCGGCCAGGGGATCGGCGGTTTCAAAATGGCCACCAGGTAAACAAAATGGCCACCCGCTGTGTTTCCTTGCTTAAGAGGCACCGAAAATCGCCGCCCCTATGGAGGATCTTTGCTTAAAGGTGAGTTTTTAGCCCATAGGAATGCATTAATCGCGTTTTAATGCATTTCTATGGGCTTTTTATTTTTGCTTAGCGATGTTATCGCTTAGCAGCAATTTTTTTCTGCACAGATTAACATCGCTAAGTGAGGCACCACTGTATTCATATCCCCAGGGATACAAATAGCCCATGCCTAATCATGAATGCGCCAGTCAGAACCTTTCCACCTGATGCTAGAATCAGCTCTTGAAATGTTCTTCCCAAGTCTGCAAGGATGTGATGATGTCTGCCGGTCTGATTTCTGACTCTTCTTTGAATCAGGCTCCCAAAGAAGCTCTTGCTCAAAGTGTCCTGGCAGAAGTGCCCCAACAAGTGGTGAACTACTTCAGCTTGTACAAGCTCCAGCCTCCAAAGAAGGTTGAAGCACAGCAAGATGGGAGCTGAGCAGGAGAAACTAGTCTTCACCTCCTCCGACCCCTGCTGCCCCTGTGGGGAAATCCTGCAATGCCGGCCCCTGAAAAGTCAACAGACAGCAGCAGCTAAGAAGAGCTGTTGAGCACACTGCATAGAGCATATAAACTGTTAAGATAATCTTGATCATTTCTGGTTTGTTGCCAAAGACATCATTTTGTTTAACAGTGTGTTCTAAGGGAGACTGAAAATGGACTGTACACATACAAAAGCCATTAACAATATTCTTGCAGGAGAACAGCAAAACGTAGGTTTTTTGCTACATTTATTAGCTCTGTTGTCTGAAGGTCACAACACAATAGCTTGCCAGTACTGATGAGTAAATACAGCAGAAGGCTTTTGTAGTGCCTTTAAAGGTCTTTTGCTGCAGCCATATTAATCTCTTACTGTGGCACAACCTTGCTTAGTATAAAATATGTAGCCACTTGGAAAGAAGTATCAAGACCAAGACAGAGCTTAATTTTTTTCCCCAAGAACACACCTTCATTTTGTCTTTAAGTCATTTTATACTACTTCTTGGCCATTTCTAAATATTTGCAGCTTTGAAGCTCTGTTTCTTAAGAGTATAAAGTAGAACTGAACCATATCAAGACTTGACACATGCATTTCTATTCTTTTAGATTCAAATCATTGTCTTATAGGTGGTACCTCTGTATTGTGCACAGAGGATATAAATATGGTTAGGATTTCTTCATATTATAGAAGATAACTATATAAAGTAATACCATACCATTTACTGTTTACGAGAAAACCCTGCAATGTTCCAGTGAGGAATGACTGTTCTGCTTTGCTTTTTTAAAAATCACTCGTATAGCTTACATGCAGAAGCAGTCTGTATGATACTGAATATGTGTCACACACACCCCCCCCCCATTTTTATATTGTCTTGGTTTAGCTGGTTCCAAGATGGCTCTGTCATCTTTGTTTTGTAATCCAGAATTATGTCTGCTTCACTTAAATCTCCTGGACTCCAGCTGGCCCTGTTAGACAAAAAAGTCTTCTTGGGTTGGTTTTTTTTTTTAAATTCAAGGTCCAGTGCAGTGGTTCTTAACCTTGGGTTACTCAGGAGTTTTGGACTGCAACTCCCAGAAGCCTTCACCACCAGCTGTGCTGGCTGGGGTTTCTGGGAGTTGCAGTTTAAAAGCATCTGAGTAACAAAGGTTAAGAACCACTGATCCAGTGTATTCTTGAGGACAACTTTTTCTTTGGTTTCAGTTTCTTTGTGGACTCCAGCTGGCCTTGTTAGACAAAAAATCTTCTTGGGTTGTTGTTTTTTTAATTCAAGGTCCAGTGTATTCTTGTGGTCAACTTTTTCTTTGGTTTCAGTTTCTTTGTTGATGGCTAAGGAGTTTCTCCCTGAGTTTCACTTCCCTTACTATTTTTTTCAGCCCCCCCCCCCAAGAAGCTGTATTTTATTGTTTTACGTGTCATTGATCAGCGCCATGTTTGCCTAATATTTCTGTTCTTGTATGTAGTTAGTGAAATGGATCAGGTTGATCTGTCAGCAAGAATGTGGGATGTGTAATATGACATATTATGCAGGGCAGTTATAGATGCCAGAAAAACAAAATCAGTGCGAATAGTGTAGCTCACAAAAGGAGGTATATGCCTTTCTCTCGCTGAAATCACCTGCCTTCAAGCTCCATCCTTTGTCTCTGTATCAACTCATCTGTAGGTTCTAATGGATGTCTATTAGGTTGCTAATTTATTGATTGTGTCTAATAAATGCCATAAGCAGTTTGCTAAAAGGTGATTTATTTTAAAATAGCAGCTGCTGATTGAATTGAAAATGCTATTTCCATTAGGTATGTATTGTATATTGAACAGTGTCTTCAGTGGGTCTTTTGTAGCAGCCCATTGAAAACTTTTCATTCCTAAACATTACAAGCTTTTAGGAAAATATTTTATGTAGATCTTTTACTGGAAACCAAAATAAAATGTGGCCTTTGAGATCTGAAAATGTGTTGTAAAGTAAGCTATTTCATAATCAGGATTATTTAGCAGATTGTGGCCTCATTCCAACAGGATATTAGCCTAACTATCTTAATTTGTACAGTCTTCTATCATCTCATGGTAGATGCTGTTTGGCTCATATCCTACAATTTATGTTGACTTTTGAACATACTGCAGTGTTGTTGTTTTTTAATAACATTCCTAGATACAATATTTCAAGAGGAAAACCTCTGAAATAGTAATATTTACTTAAATATCCTTTAAATATAGGTTGCTTCACTTCTTTATTCAGACCTGGCAACACATTAGCACCACCTTGTGGTAGAACCGGTTACTACTTGTAAGGAAAAAAACTTTTTCTGGCTCTGGTTTTTCAAAGCAAATTACCTTTTATAAATAAAGTATATGGTCTGTATCTGCAATATATTGTTTGTACAATATTATTCTTTGTACTTGCTGATCAAGTTGACTTCAGATGTGACATGATCTTCGTGCCATATAATACAATATATTAAACTCAACTTACATCTCAACAGTTCTACTGTCTTTTGTTGTCATTTCTAGCATTGAAGATGCATTTCGTCTTTTGTTGACATTTCTATATATAAAAAGGGTTTTGACAGATACCCTTGGGTCTATTTTGTATTCTAACATTCCTTATATGACCAGCCAGTGTTCCACTTCCATGGGATGGGAATGGCTGGATAGGTCAGTGGTTTAAGCGTCTGTCTGTGGAGCCAGAGGTTGGGAGTTCAATCCCCACTGTTCCTCTTTGACAAGGCAGGGCTCCATGATCCATAGGGTCCCTTCCTGCTCTTCAGTTCTGAGAGTATTGTGATTATTATGATTTGGCTTTTTCCTCCTCTCCCATTTGCAGCCCATTTTGACCTCTCTCAGACCTGCTCCCAGATAAGAGACCCTTGGTGAGGTGTGGACTGTGGAGCAAGAAGCAGGGCAATAGAATAACACCCATCTTAATTGAACGGAAAAGCAAGTTAGGATCTACTGGGTTTTTATAAGTTCGCCATCCTTTTGGTCAAATAGAGCAATGTTGATATTTTGGGGAACGGAAGAAAATAAGAACCCAGGCATGCAGCTATGAAGCTAAACAGTAGCATGTCACATTTTATGTTTTCTTTTATACAGAGTTTCTAGTGGCAAAAACATGGGGGGTTTAAAAGGAGACTGGACAGATTTATTCATGAGGACCAGGGCTTGTGGTGCCTCTTTGACAGGGATGGTAATAGATGTTTGTTCCACCACCAGAGGCAGCCATTCTTCTCCAGTTCTTTTTAGATCATGAGTTGCTGTTGATCACAGTGTGAGCAGAATGTTGGGCTAGAAAGACCTTTTGTCTGATCCACCATCATTCTTCTTATGCCTTGGTACCATGGTGCTTAACACTACACTCGCAACTGAGTGCCCTATTTTTGCTCTGATAAAGATCAGGGTGTTTGGATTGAAACCGAGCATCAGAAGTCATTCTTGCCATTGTTTTACACTAGAGATGGATTCCAAACCCTTTTTGAGGGCAGCTAATAACCAGAACAGTGATCTAATGTAGTTCTAGCACAATGTATGGTTTTTAGAGCAACAGACTTGGCGAAGTACTAGAAGTGGAGCTCAGTCTTGGCAGCTCTGATCAGTGCTGGTTTGTCAGCATACAGATGTAGATACATGACCCCCTTTCCAAATTAGCTTTGCCTACAATGATAGGTAAAGGTTTCCCTTGACAATTTTTGTCCAGTCGTGTTCGACTCTAGGGGGCGGTGCTCATCCCCGTTTCCAAGCCATAGAGCCAGTGTTTGTCCAAAGACAATCTTCCGTGGTCACATGGTCAGTGCGACTACCAATTGGTTAATCACAAAAAGAGACAGTTGCCTTAGCTTTCGAAAATGCCTTTCCACTAATAAATACCCAATGTTAATTACATGCACCATTGTTATTATCCCAACAGTTTTCTTATGCATGTAATGTTTCTTTTGCACATACCTAATTGGTAAGCTTAATTTATGACATTTGTGCTTTATAAAGGTTTAATTAAGTTAGTAATTAGAGTTGTCATAAGCTCGTAAAACTCCAAAGGAGTAAACAATCACAGCAACAGCAATGATGGTTAGGTGGTTGCATTAAAGGTAAAGGTAAAGGTTCCCCTTGACAATTTTTGTCCAGTCGTGTTCGACTCTAGGGGGTGGTTCTCATCCCCGTTTCCAAGCCATAGAGCCAGCGTTTTGTCTGAAGACAATCTTCTGTGGTCACATGGCCAGTGCGACTTAGACACGGAACACTGTTACCTTCCCACCAAGGTGGTCCCTATTTATCTACTTGCATTTGCTTGCTTTCGAACTGCTAGGTTGGCGGGAGCTGGGACAAGCGACGGGCGCTCACTCCATCACGTGGATTCGATCTTACGACTGCTTGCTTGTTCCAATTTTAAAAAGAGATGATAGTGATTTTTTTTAGTGGCACTAGAGGAGCAGCTGATGGGGGTTATGGAAGCAATGAATCAGCGTTAAAGAAATATGTGTTGAGGCAGGATGGAGGCTCTGAGGGAAGTTTTTTTTTTTGCAACTTCCAAGAATCCTTTTGCACCTAAAAAATCCCATGGTGAATATCAGCAGAGTTTTTGTTGCTAGAGAATGCATAGCCCAAGAGTTAGGTAATCTCAGTTAAAGCTGAATGAAAATAGGAAGTTGTATTTTGATTTGCTTTTTAGTCAACCTTGTTTGCATCTTAGGAACATTATTCACATTAAATTCAACATTTCTTCTGTTTCAGTGCTTTCTGATGAAAGCTAATGTCAGCTGCAATGGTTCCTAACTCTAGTTCGTATATTTTTACACTACAGTTGAATTTCTTCTAATTCAGTGCTTGCTGATGAAAGTTAATAAATTTCAGCTGCAATGGTTCCTAATTCTAGTTCGTATATTTTTACACTACAGTTGTTTGTCTACCTAGTTCTAGTTCAAATGATATTTATGCTGTACGTGTCTATCCATTTAATGATTCCATTTTACTTTAATTTGAATTTAAATAATTCCATTTTACTTTAATTTGAAATTACTTTAAAAATAGGCTTTTGTTATGTATAAATTTACCTTTTAATTGTTCTCCCAATGCCATTATTGGCATCCTCAGAATTTTAGTAAGGTTGTTTAAAACCTAAATTGATCCCTGGTAGCTGAGGTATAAGTTCTGTTGTAGGAAATAGACACACACTCTGTACTTGAACAGCCTCGAGACTATCCATCCCTCTTCTTCACCACCACCACAAAGATGTAGATTTAATGACTTACCCCTCACATCGGATGCTACCATATAAGGTGTCTTATAACTGGACCATCTTGATGTATGACCTCCAAATGTAATAATTATGCTTGTCCTCTTGAAGCTATTTGTACTTGTTTCCCTGCTGTCTTCTGGACATACCTTGCTTCAACCTGGGTGATATTGAGAAAGAGTTGCACATTCCCTTCTCATAATTAGTCATATTTTTGTCTTGAGTGTTTCTATAGTAAGCATACTGTACATAAAAGAATCTTCACTGTGTCAGTAATTTAGACCAATATGGTCTAATGGAACCTGAACCCTTTTCAAAATTCATGGACAAACTGATGCAGAGTAATCTAACCTTGTAATTACTACGGTGTTAGAACGTTCTTATCAGACAGAAAAATGCCTGTGATACCATCCTAACCTAAAGTTCGAGAAAGCAAAAGGTGTCCTGAGCAGTTAAAACAAGGGGTTTTGCCTCAGCTGGGAAGTGGCAGCAAGGGATTGGTAGAAAGATTTGTGTCTGCGATCTGCATGCCCTGTGGCATCTCCCAAACTAATCTGACGTATCCATGTGTGACGGAGGATCCTCTCCTATGCCACGGTTGAAGAGTCAAAATGTCAGTCCAGTTGGCTTTTGTAGATAGAGTGAACAGAGGACACCTCCTTTTCACCTCTGTGTTAAACAGGTAGCCTAGGTTAAAGCCTAGAGGATGGCCCATGACTCAATTGCAAAAAGAGTGTTTTGCCCAAGAAAGTGAAAACAGATATCGCTAGGCTACACCTCTGGGTATCTTTGATTTAAAAGACACTGAGTACAGTGGTGCCTCATCTTACAAACTTAATTGGTTCCAGAACTCCAGTCGTAACTTGAAATGGTCGTAAGTCGAAGCACCATTTCCCTTTGAAATGCAATTACTCCATTCCGGCCGAAGAAAAAAATCACACACCCCCCAAAAAAATAACTGCAAGACCCATCGGAAACACGATTAATTCATTCCGGCTGAAGGGGAGGGGGAGAAAAGCAAGCAAAGCATGCATGACCCATTGGAAATGCAAAAAAGCAAAGCAGTAAGCAGGCAAAGTGTGCAAGACCCATCAGAAATGCAGCTGAAGGGGAGGGGGAGAAAAGCAAGCAAAGCATGCATGACCCATTGGAAATGCAAAAAAGCAAAGAAAAAAGCAAGCAAACTCTGCAAGACCCATTGGAAATGGGGAAGGAATCCAAAAAGTATGCAAAACCCCCAAGACCCATTGGAAATGGGGGGGAAATACCAAAATACCTGCCAAGACCCATCACAGCACAGAAACATACCCCCCCAGCCCAAAACCACACTGCAAAACCCACCCAGAACAGTTTTTTAAAAGCAGAAAGCAGAGGGAGGGAATCCAAAAAGTATGCAAAACCCCCAAGACCCATTGGAAATGGGGGAGGAAATACCAAAATACCTGCCAGCACCCATCACAGCACAGAAACATAACCCTCCCCCAGCCCAAAACCACACTGCAAAACCCACCCAGAACAGTTTTTTAAAAGCAGAAAGCAGACCTTATCTTACCAGGCAGTCCAAAGCCTCCTCTAATCTCACTCACTCTAACCGTTGGGGCGAAATGATCATAAGTCAGGACATTTGTAAGCCTAGACACCACTGTATGTGAAATTTGCTATAGAGGAGGTGCTTATCTGTCTTCTAGCTCAATATTCCAGTTGCTCACATTTATGCAGGAACAACAAGGACAACTGCTGCAGTCGCATTAATTACCCCCACAAGGCATGGGACAAAAGGCAGAACTCCAAGCTCCTGATTTATATGAGCAAGAAATTGGGCACATTTGCTAATATGTTAGTAGTCCTACAGCAACTTTTTCCGATATTGCAGCATTGCCAAAGACATTTAAGACTCAAGCGCTCCTGAGAAAGGACATCTAGTGTCAGAACTAACTGATGTCCTCTTCCTGGGATCCTCTCCCTAATCTGATGACATTAGAGCCAAAAAAAAAAAAGGCTCATAAAGCAACCAATCGCATTTAAAACAGCTCACTTAGGGAGGAAGTGACCTTTCTGCCAGCAGTGATTTATTAGCCAAGGAGGAAACGAAACGGGACTGCTACTCTGGAGGCTTGGTGCTCTAAATGAAATAGTGGCTCCGGATGGAAAGCGATAAGGAAGAGGCTCTAGTGGGAGACTAATATGGGCTCTTTTCCCCATCTTGTCACTCCCCAAGGGCTACGTGAGTTTCTTCCGTGCTTTGCGAGTGGACTTTAGGTGCTGTAAAGAGATCGGCTCAGGAAACTGATTACACCAGTATGAAATCACCAGCCAAAAGCACAGATGGACACGTTTCTTATCCCAGGACATATATGACCAAGCCATATATATTATACTGTATACCCTTTCTTTCTCAGGAACACCTACACCCAAACAGATACAGTTCCCAGAATCACCCATTACCAAGCACTCACAATAAGCCTCACTTTTTTTTTCCAGGATCGCCCGATACATGAGACTCCAGCATGCATTTCTCGCACCCATCCATCCTCAGAGTCACACATTCCATTCATTACACGCCAGTTGTCCTTCAGCTACTGACTCTCCACGTCTGCCCCCAGGCTTGCCAAGGAGTGACAGGTCTTCTTTCCTTTAAGACAGTTTGTTGTGGGACTCGGTGGGCTTGCTGCAACAGTGAAGACCTAGTCTCCAGGTATCTGCTCTTTTTTATTTTCTTCCACTCTATGTGGGTCATAGAGTCATGGACCTTAACCCATAAAGAACACTAAGAATTTCTCAGATCAAGAGTGTGACTGACGAAGAAGCACTAAGACGAATGACAGAAAAAACATAAAACATGTAAAATGCAGAAAGGTAGGCTAGTTCGTTCATGTAACGAAAAATGATAAATACAGACTGCTAAAGCCAATGATTTAAGATAAATGGAAAAGAAGCACAAGAAGGAGCAGAAACATACTGGCCAGAAAGCTTTGGAAACTGCTCTGGAAATAACATAACATAGTAGCCTGAATTTCTGCAGATCCCAAAAAAGCATAACTTTCGGAAGTGAATTGGTTCCATTAAGAAATCTCCATATGGTTGCCTACTGAGCTGCATGACTTGGCATGCAAGAGATAATGCCTATGGATATATCTTAATTTATGGCATTTGTGTATAAAATTATATTGTTGATGTAACGGCAACAGGATTTCAGCCAACGATTTGGAGCCACATCCCAAATTATAATAGTTATGATGATGCCCAGCCTCTGGTAGGAAATAAGGAAGCAGCAGCAGCAGCAACATGTGGTCTCTTCGCTCCCATTATGGAGAAATTTGCACATGAGAAATGAAGAGATATAAGTACTGGATACAATGAATGAATTGTATAAATATTCTGCGACTATTATTGTTATTAACATACAGGACTGGTATATTACATTCACCTTCTAAAGCATGGTTTACATTTATGGTTCCCCAGTAACATTTCAGCCAAGCTGCTTAACAGATATTTCTAATTCATGACAAACATGGCTAAAAACATAACAGAGCATACAGTAATTTAAAAAACACACATGTAAAACACATCAGTAAATAAAAAGACTGTGTTCATCTAATTAATAGCCCTTTCCATAGCATCCCAGTGTAATTGGCAAAGGCCAGTCTGAGTGATTTTTTTCTAAACTACAGATATTTGCTGTTATTTGATTTGTAGACTGTGCTACAGTTGAATTTGCAGTCAGTGCTCATATAGGGGTCGTAGGTTGATTTGGGAGGTCAGAATTCATACTGGATGTGATGTGACTCATCACATCCAGTATGAATTCTACATCCCTCCTTCTTTCCTTCCTTCCTCTGGTCCCACCTCTGCCAATCCTTCCTTCCTTCTTGGTCCTACCTTTCCCAATCTTTTTATGGAGCATAAATGCAGGAAATAATAATGAAGACCCAGAGATAAGGTAACAGGGAGAGCTAGTGCTAATCTCATATATGCAAGATACTTTAAAAAAAAAAAAGTAGGACTATCGGGAGAGAAGAGAGAATGTGATATTGTATTCCCCTGGTCCTGAACGTCACACCGCAACTGCCTACATCACTGAAACACCACATATAGACACACACAAACACTTTTACAAGAACGCATCTCAACTAATCACACAAGGAAAAGCCTGTTCAAATCATTCCAGCTTGAAAAAGTAGAAGCTCCTTAGTGGCAGGAAAAGAAGCCACTTTGGAAGCAAAAAGAGTAGGACTGATTTGAATCAGCTTTTGCTGATCATATGGTCAGTAAAAAATACTTCAAATTCACCCATTTTATAAGCAGAACAAATCCTGAAGTTTCTGACCATTTAGTGCACCCTTACTCTAGGAACCTGTACTGCATGACCCTCATATCCACAGAAGATTGGTTCCAAGCCTCCCCCACAGATGCTGAAAAACTTGGATTACAGCAAATGCTATTTTAATAGCAAACACTACACACAGCATGGTCACTTGCTCCCTCTAGTGACCAATTCTTTTAATGACATTGTGGAAATATATTTCTTTAGCAAAAGTTATACATAGCATGGTCTCTGCCCCCCTCTAGTTGCCAGTTTTGGTAACTTCATCCTTTAAAAATATTTTTCTAAGATTTTTCTTTTAATAGTTTTAATATTTTCACACTGTGGATAAGTGAATCAGCAGATACTGATCCCATGGACAAGGGGGCCCTACTGTAGTTACAATCTAACTTGCCTCCCCCAAAAACTGTTTCTGTGCACTCTTGTACAAAGTTGTTTTTCCACCACTCACAATGACTGTGTTTGATTCAAGATGGAAGCTGCTGTAGTCCGCCAGCACCAGCACCTCCACTGTCTGTGGATTTATTAACCATGCAAATGATTGTATGAAAAGAGCTACATTTTTACAGAAGGAAAAAAAATCTCCCCATATGCCCAGCACAGCTTGAACATCCTCTGGTTATGCTTGCTTTTTCTCTTTGACTTCAACAGTAAGGATTTCTCCTTCTCCGGGTGTAGTGGAAGGCGTCATGCTAATAATAAGGGATTGGTTAGTGATTCCTCTGAGCAGAGTTGGTCGAGGAGGAGGAGGAGGAGGAGGTGGTGGTGCTGATACTGGCAGTGGTGATGATGGTTGTGGCTGACTCTTGACTCCGGCCTCTTCTTTAGGAGCAGGTGGCTCAGCTTTCGTGTCTGGAGCTTCTCTGACCGGAGCTGGCACTACATTTTCTTTTACTGGCTTGGCCTGAACTGTTGCTTTACCATTTTCCTTTTGGCCTTTTGCTGTTTTTTTCTTTTTCTCTTCTTCTGCTTTTTCCTGTTCTGCTTTTTCTTTCTTTGCTTGTTCTTCTTTGGCTTGAATTTCTTGCTGCTGTCTTTCTTTTTCTTCCTGAAACAAAAACAGTCAAACATTAACTTGTCTTTTCCTTTTTTTCCTTTTCTGCCTTTTCTCGTTCTTCTTTTTCTTTCTTTTCTTGTTCTTCCCTTTCTTTTTCTTCCTGAAACAAAAACAATTAAGTATTATTGAGTAAGGTTGCATGATGGGGTCCCAAGACCTTTTAGATCTTGCCTACAGAGAAAAGGGTGAACAAAATCCACCAAGGAGGCCACATGCATTTCAGTGTGGCTTGGAGCTGTGCTTAGCCAGAATCCTTCACAGGTTTTACAGAGAAGTTGTGCAAAGGAGCTCAGAATGCCCAAAAGTGAATTTCCTGTTTAAAATGCCTCTCATTTGATAACATCTGGCATTGTTGCTTCCTCAGAAATCACTTCTGTGCACTCACAGAGCAAGTTGGAAAAAGAAAGGCAATAAAAAAGTGACTTGTTCACTCTAAAGCAGTGGCTCCCAACCTTGGGCCTCCAGATGTTTTTGGACTACAACTCCCAGAAGCCTTCACCACCACCTCTGATGGCCAGGATTTCTGGGAGTTGAAGTCCAAGAACATCTAGAGGCCCAAGGTTGGGGACCACTGCTCTAAAGGGCTGTATGAGCAGAAACAGATAAGACAATGGACTCATAAGCAGAAACAGATAAAATGTGATCATTCCAGAGAGGCCTTCTTCATAGTTGCCTCATGGGCATAAGATACATGCAAACCAAGTTCTGATGGTCACCTCCTGATGCTCAATCACCAAAGAAACGCAAGTAAGCGTTCTACTTGCAAAGTTGTGAAACAGTGTTGGAGGATAACCAGAAATCCTTTACTTCTTAAGGTAAAGCTGAGTGTCTTGTCTATTTTGGCACTGTATTCTCTCCGCTCATAATGGAAATGAGGATAGGTTGTCCTACTGCAGCAATCGTGTGTTTTGTGCCACACAATTCACTGCCATCATCTCAGATAGCAACGGAGTCTGGAAAAGTTGCTCTTTTGGACTACAAATCACAGACTCTACCCCACAGCAGCTCTGTAAATGCTTCATCCGAAAGAACCCTTGCAAAAATTAGATTCCTTACTCTCGGTTTCTCCTTTAATTTGCAATACCCCCAAGGTATTAATTTCCCTGCTTATTTCTTATCTCTGCAGCCCACCCTGACTTTTGCACTTTGGGATGTTGTACCTGTTCTCTTTTCAGCTTGATCACGGCAGCCATGCCACCCCCTTTCCCACCAAGCAAGGCCTGGAACATCTTGGGTGGTTCTATTTTCTGTGTTAGCAAAGAGAAGCCTTTGACAGGTTGGGCTGGTCCTTGAGTAGGCTTGCCTGTCTTCTTCATGAGTGCTCTAGAGAATAAGGAAAGAACACAAAGGGGAAAAAAAAGAGAACATGTTAAAGAACATGTTAATCAGAAAGAGCAAGAGAGCCAAAGAAGCTGGAGATGCTATTGCCACTTGGACTGCTGAGGCCCTTGCCAACTTGGGTTAGATATATTTTCTATATGTTTGTGTTGGAGGGGGTAAATCCACATAGGGGATTCATGAATCATGTACAATTGAACTGATATTTTATTCTAGGCTTTTGAAGATTCCACATGTGGAGCTGTTTTTGCCGGGTACTGCACACTGAACCCAGTTGAAGAAGCTGTCTTGGATTTTTATCTGAATTTGAATTCAAAGAGACACTTTGCAATACTTCCATATTGATGTTGTTGCCTAGGAGTTGAGTTGAGTGCACAAATTGTAGCATTTTGCTGTTATAATTGTTCATCTTGTATGTTATATAATGGCGAATACAAAAAGACTAATTTTGTGAAATTGTGTTTGCAAGATTCATCAGTAGATATCTGAGTAAGCAAACAGCCCTATAGAACTGAAGTGTTACAAATGCACAAAGAGTCCTTGTACCCAGAGATCCTTGAACCCAGTGAGATTTTTCACAAGTTTAAATGAGGCCATGCCTCCAACTGCCCCTTGAACAGGGTTTGGAGAAATTCTTTTCAGGTCTGTAACTCCCAGAATCCTGCAGCCAAAAGTTATCAAAAAGTAACTTTCCCAATACTTGCCCACAGACAAATGAAGAAATCAATCCAGAAACCAATCCTTGGCTTCAGACTCTGTTTCCATGCCTACAAATACCAGGTACCAGAAACATTTAATTTATGCTAATTGAAAGCTTCCTATCCTCCTTTATAGGGACATGGTGGCGCTGCGGGTTAAACCGCAGAAGCCTGTACTGCAGGGTCAGAAGACCAAGCAGTCGTAAGAT